TGACAGGTGGCAGGTATACCCTTGTAAGGTTACGGATTACTTAATAATGAGACTAATGGGATATCAAGGACGTGTTCTGTGTCAATACTGTCACACACGTTCTCGTACAACAGTCTTGACCAACACCTGTGTGAGCTGTGTTAATTAATACACGTTTATTGACCTCGCCGCCACCAGGAGATCTCTACAACATAAGGAAGAAGTAACTACTGGAATCCAAGACTTTGGAGTGGATATAATTCCATTACTAACCCCAGAGGCACACACAGAGAGGGTGACATGGGCGGCATACGGGACGCTGGCGAACATCAGAACGTCGTTTACAAACCTAAAGCAGAAATTTCAAGACCAACTCCACAGCTTATATTAGACCAAGACGGAAACATGCAGCACCGGAATGCATCTGGTGAAGCAGTAAAGCCAGAATCGGAAAGTAGAGATTTGCAAGAAGATTAGTGCCAGAGCTAAGAATGTTAAGCTACAGGAATAGGTTAAGGGAACTGGACCTGACAACCCTGCAGAAGAGAAGAAATAGAGGGAATATGATCACAACGTCAAGATACAGAGGAGAATAGACAAGACAGGCAAGGACAGCCTTTTTAAATTGAACAAAAGTAGGACAAGAGTTGGACGCTGGAAACCCAAATAAGTGTAGGAAGTGTAAAGAAAAACTGGTACCCAGTACGGGTGGTCAACAAGTGGAACGCATTGAAAGAAGTTGTGGAAGCCACCTCCACCCATAACCTATCCAAGATTAGACAAAGAATTCGAACGTCAGAATAGTTCAATTATACCGCAGCAGGTACAAGACGGGCAGCAGGTGGGGCATAAAGTGCTTGACCTCACTCCCAGTAGTCAGTGGTAGGTAAGTACTGAGGAGGCCTGGTCGAGGACCGGGCCGCGGGGACGCTAAGCCCCGAAATCATGACAAGATATGGCCGCCGTCCTCACCAGCTGCACCACCACCTGACTCTTCCTTACACCGATCAATCGGCGTTTCTTAATTTCCTAGTTATACAATTTTGTGGCAGGTCCTTGACCTAGCCCCATCCTGGATAACAGCAGCAAGTTGAAGGCTGCCTGGCTCGCCTCCACGCCTCCCGCCACTTTCACTGTCCCTCTGCTCAACCCGTCCTCAGACCAAGTCCATTCTATCCAGCGGTCGACCCCAAAGTCACATTCATAAATTTTAACATGCTATTCATTCAAAACAGGAATTTTCTCAAATATAAATTAATATTATTTTATATTACCATATTGTACATATTTAGGCACTTGTTACGTTAGGGGTTTAGGTTCTGTTGGCGATTATTTGTAGTACGTGGGTGAAGCATTTAACGCGTTGTGGTTCGAACAAAATTCGTCAGTGACGAACGTCATCAGTTGAGTCGTGTGTAAATCGTTTTTCATACATAAACAGGGGGTTTGGCGGGTGCATGGAATCGACTTTGGGTCTTTGTTTAGAGGACGGGCTGCTCTGCTACACAGCCACACTGTGATACACCATCTGTGCCGCTGGTACACAGCCGCCCCGCTGTGGTACACTATCATCAACTTAAGTCTCCCTCTTCTAGCAAGTTATCCGCTTCTAGCCTGCCGACTGCCTCGTGTAGTCATGATTCGTGCAGACATCTGGCAGCGGTAAGTATATCTTGGCGTGTTTGTGTTCCGTGGGATCCCACCAGAAGTATCCTTCGTCCAATGGTCACCTCTTCTGGTTATAGGTCTTGCGGACCAGGATACCGAAACGTCTTACAAAACCCGTTCAATTTTCCTCAATCACGGCGGCTTTACTTACACTTATTAAACATCTAACGAGCTTCGTAGCATTACGAGGTTGTTTATAATAATAATAACCTTGGGTTGTGATGTTTGTAAGCGGGTAAACTGTCTAACATTTATAACCATAGGCGCCATTATTGTTAAAAGCTAGATGAATCCTGGTCCTGTTCACTGCCAAACCAGTTCCGTCACTAATGAATTAGACCACACATTAATTGGCGATAAAACCCTTTGTGTGACTGCCTACACCACCCCCCCCCCAAAAAAAAAAGGGAGCACAATACAGCTAATGACCCTCACGGCTCCTGTCTTCAAATGATAATTTCATAAATATATAAATTATTTACTTAGCTTACTAAGACCTATTAAGCTAAATGGTTATTTTCGGGGTTCACTTCCCGGGCCGCACATGTGCCGCGGACACACTGACGGAGGTGTATGGGGGTCCTCTACCCCCCACACGATGGGTATGGGGGGGGGGCAAAATATATTAACAAAATTAAGCATTTAGTGAGTTCATTCATTGGTGGTGAGGGGGTGCCCGCCCCCCCCCCTGGTGTTACCCGGCCACACAACACACTTTCTAACTGCCGTCTTGGGCAGCAGATAATAGCTGGGTTTATAGGTTCAGTCTTCATTTGCATTTACGGTCGGGGATGGGGGGGGGGGTGGATGGGGGGATTGGGGGAGATGGAGATGGGCATACAACTGCTGCCATGGGCACGGGTAGTGACAGAGTGACCAGACACCTGTGACTGGCACCTAGTGCCACAACACCTGCACAGTGCCAATACGTGCACAGTGTCACAACAGCTGCTTGGTGACAGCGTGTGACAGCGAGTGCGTGTCACAACACCTGGACTCCGTGACCATGGTGGGAGACCATTTATATCCAGCCGCCAAACCCCGCGTGTTTATGAATGACAAACCACTTTACACAACACTTGCAGCTGATGACCTTCCAACAGGTCTTCAACAAGGCCTTCCTGACTATTTCTGTTCAAACCGCAGCTCTGTAAATGCGGTTTATTTGAGAAAATATATGAGAAAATTTCCTTTTTGAATACACAGCCATTTTAAATTGCTTCTTTGGGGGTCGGCCGCTGGATGGACGAGCACAGCCGCTTGCCAGCATAAGAGGCAACATTAGGTTAAAGCTGTGCAACAGGAATATATGCAGCGAGAGGTGTAAACTCTGTGTACATACATTTTATTTTAGTCCTGTATAGGACTAAAGTAAACTTGCTGGTTGGTCAATAAGCTGTTCTGGTAGGCTTAACAATCCTCCAGAGGTTGGTAGGCCTACAGCCCGTCCTCCTAAGGTTCCCCAACATAAAAAAAAGTGTCCTACTAAAGTGCCCTTATCCTAAGCTAACCCAGGAGGACGGGTTGAGGCCTCAGCCCAACACCGACCCAAAACTGTGAGAATCAGGAAACCTCACACACAATACAGACATTGCAAAACAAGCGAAATATTGCGGTGACCTCAACTCTCTCTCCGCGATGCCCTTTTTAACGAACTCGATTCAGATTTATGACTGGAGATTGCAACAAACACTAAAACAAGTTTGGGCGGGAACACGGGGTGAGGGAGGCGGCGCTGACGGCGGCCGTGGCAGCGTTGCTGGTGGAGGATGTCATCCCAGGGGTGACTACGGGGCTGGATTGGCGTATCAGTGCCCACTCAATCTTTGCTAGAAACATCAATGCGAAAAACACAACTAAAGACTGAGTGGCGTGTAGTGGCTCAGTGGGGCAAGAGTCAGTACAACAAGACCTCGGCAGGCAGACCACCATCTGGATACTTGACATTATTAATGAATTACTCTCACAAAGAGTCAATACTTGCATTTATTTTCTTTTAAACATGAGCCAATTATTATGAAATGAAGAGCCAATTATTAATAAATATGTCGAGGGCGACGACGGTAGGCAAGCTACACCTCCCGCCGTCGACCAATCACAGGAGGTGTCATACTGGTCAAGTGTTCAATTGCCTTATTTGTAGGCAACACTTGAGTTACCCCCTCGCCTGGCGCTGCCACCCCTCTCTCAGCCCCCTCTCTTGCCCCTGGCTCAGCCCCCTCTCTCGCCCCTGGCTCAGCCCCCTCTCTCGCCCCTGGCTCAGCCCCCTCTCTCGCCCCTGGCTCAGCCCCCTCTCTCGCCCCTGGCTCAGCCCCCTCTCTCGCCCCTGGCTCAGCCCCCTCTCTCGCCCCTGGCTCAGCCCCCTCTCTCGCCCCTGGCTCAGCCCCCTCTCTCGCCCCTGGCTCAGCCCCCTCTCTCGCCCCTCAGCCCCCTCTCTCGCCCCTGGCTCAGCCCCCTCTCTCGCCCCTGGCTCAGCCCCCTCTCTCGCCCCTGGCTCAGCCCCCTCTCTCGCCCCTGGCTCAGCCCCCTCTCTCGCCCCTGGCTCAGCCCCCTCTCTCGCCCCTGACTCAGCCCCTGGCTCAGCCCCCTCTCTTGCCCTTGGCTCCTGGACAGACCCGGGTCATGTTGTAGGGCCAAGTCCGTTGGTAATATTAGTGAAGGAGTGGCCCGGATCATGAGGAAGGTAACATATGTTTACGGTGGTCAGTCGTGGTGATGACACTCCAGCCTCCGGGCCGGGGAGGGGGCAGGCGTGGGATGCTACCTCTCAGGAGAACACTCACCAACTGCTTCACTCTTCAGCTCCTTAACCTTACATTAACCTGCGCATTTAGTGGTTAATGTCACTTGTTGGGGGTCTATGTTCTCCCAAGAACGATCCAACAATGTTTCATATTAATATTGGAGTGGTTTGATGGTGCCAAATCGTCCTAACCTGACCAGGAATCAAACCAATGTTTATTTACTTGCGGGGAAGTGTGCCCACAGCGCCACGGGTTCTGATGTAGGCTTTGACTGGTACGTCAAGCAAAGAGCACTCAACACCACACAGACCAGGGAGAACACACTAGTGCCAGTGTTATACACCACCTCTCCATTTGACACTCCCTTAACAAAAAAAGTGCCACTGTTTTGCACATCGTGCGAAAGCTAAGCACTTCACCCGACCTAACGTAAACTATGCCTAGAAAACGTCAATATTACAATGCTGTGTTACTTGTAATAGGTGGTATTTTTAGCGGGTTTCCGTAAAGAGGAGGTATAAGAGGGGGGGCGGTGTACTTTTACGGGTTATTCATGCCCGTGCCACCTCCTGGTTGGCTTAATCTTAATAAATCACACTGTGTACTCACCAATGGAAGACCTGAGGGCGATGGAGGCAGGGCCCGGGCTGGAGAACTCGGCAGCGATGGGTCCGCGCCTCTTGGTGGGCGTCCACGTTCCGTTGGTCTGACCTCCCATCTGAAACACAACACTCCGGTTACCTCCGCTGTTCTTACTCCCTCACCATTTCATCCCCCATTTATACAACCACTTACGAAACCTATACATCTTCCCTCATCATGGTGGCTGGGTTTACATTTATTAAATAATGGAACGTTTATTAGGGGTTATTAATAAAACAGTTTGAGCTCCGTAGCACTATACAAGGTTTTTATGATAATCTTAGGTTAACAAATCAACCAGGAGCCTTGGTGAGGACTGGACCTCTGGCGCTGGCAGTTCCCAGGCGCGCTCTGGTCCACTGCACCACAACATGGTAAAAAGAATTGCAACCTGGAATACTACAGCACCAACAAGGATCATAAGGCTCCCACTGAAGCCTAACAGGAGTTTCACACAATTCCCCCCCCCCCTCGTACTCGGGCTCTGTCAGCCAGTAATTCTACCTCTGACGCCCCTCCTTCAGTACACAAATATCACATTACCGTGATTTGTCTGTGTATTGAATCTGTGATTGCTATTACCATCCACAATAATAAACACTCTGCACCTCCCCATGGGAGACGCAGGGTGGGCTGGGGAAGGTGAGAGCTGGGGAATGTGTGGGCTGGGGAATGTGTGGGCTGGGGAATGTGTGGGCTGGGGAATGTGTGGGCTGGGGAAGGTGTGGGCTGGGGAAGGTGTGGGCTGGGGAAGGTGTGGGCTGGGGAATGTGTGGGCTGGGGAAGGTGTGAGCTGGGGAATGTGTGGGCTGGGGAAGGTGTGAGCTGGGGAAGGTGTGAGCTGGGGAAGGTGTGAGCTGGGGAAGGTGTGGGCTGGGGAAGGTGTGAGCTGGGGAATGTGTGGGCTGGGGAAGGTGTGAGCTGGGGAAGGCGTGGGCTCCACACACACAAACCACAATAGCGTGATGCATGAATGAACAAATCCACAAGGGCCGTGACGAGGATTCGAACCTACGATGATCTCGGACGTAGGTTCGAAGCCTCGTCACGGCCCTTGTGGATTTGTTCAATGTGTGGGTGCTCTGACGAGGCAGGGTTGGCGGGAGAGTCCTGGCGTGATCAGCTGGCCACAGTAAACTTTACACACACGTAAACTCCCGTCAGTAAAGAAAGCCCTCTACACACCAGGTAGATCTCTGGGAAGCAGTAGACCCGTCGGCCAAGTAAACCTTAAACCAACTCAAATGAACCTCTGTTCAACTAAGGTAAATACACCCAATACCCATTTATTTATGCCAATCTTTGTAAACAAATGTAACCCAACCAAACAACTGTAAGTGAACTGTGGTAAAAAATAAAGCACCTCTGTAAACCATGTAAACTTAGATGTCCAGCGAGAGACTTGTGACACACACACACACGGGTTTAACAGTATATATTTCACAAGGTTATTTTTGTGTAAACAATACGAAACAATGTTTCATCATTTATTGCAAGTGGCGTTGAAGTGGTTTTGAGGGGAGGGGGGGGGGGGGGGAGGGGGTGGGGGGGGGGAGGGGGGGGGGGGGGGCGGGGATGTAGCATATGATTTTGTGGTGGTGGCGGCGGCCCAGAACCCTGTCCTGTCCGTCCTCAACCCTCCTATCCCTTCAGAGGCTCCTTGGCCTCCTATCCCTTCAGAGCGGGTATATATTCATATGGATTAACGCTTTCTTCTCGGTTACAGCCCCGCTCCTGTGCCAGGTAAGTCCACTACGGGTTCACCATAGCCCGTGCTACTTGTCCCGCTCCTGTGCCAGGTAAGTCCAATACGGGTTCACCATAGCCCGTGCTACTTGGAACTTTTTGTTCTCAATAGCTGAATCTATAACAACAACAACAACAACAGCGCTTTCTTCTCATAATTACCTTAAGTAATCATGATATCATGGTCCGTGTACGTGATAACACGTGGGGCGGTGACGGGGTGGTGAAGTGAAGATGGTCTTAGGGGTGGCAATGTATGGTAGTGAGACGGGCTCGTTCCTACCTGGCACAATATCTAGAAGTTATCTTGAGGTTATCTTGAGATGATTTCAGATTGATTGATTGATTTTTAGTGTCCCCGCGGCCCGGTCCTCGACCAGGCCTCCACCCCCTGGAAGCAGCCCGTGACAGCTGACTAACACCCAGGTACCCATTTTACTCCTAGGTAACAGGGCATTGGGTGAAAGAAACTCTGCCCAATGTTTCTCGCCGGCGCCTGGGATCGAACCCAGGACCACAGGATCACAAGTCCAGCGTGCTGTCCGCTCGGCCGACAGGGGGTAGAGGTCATGGTCTGGTGAGGCAATCGTCGTGGTCACAATGTTGTCGCTGGATGACGGGGTCATTGTGGTGTAACTAGGTCGTGGTGGGAGGGTCCCTAAGGGTCACTACTCCCCCCATCGATCCCAGTAGCCCATGACGGGCGCCATTGATCCCAGGAGTATGGGCTGGCAGCCTTCCTGGGCCGCGCGGTACCCGCTTCCCGCCATTCTCTCTTTCCGTTTGTTTTGGTTCCCTCATTTATCATATGTTTGTAATAGTTACCATGTGTAGAATTGTTTCGTTTGTATGAGTTTACTGCGTATTATCATCGAGGTCAAGTGAAGGTAGTTTGCTTGGACAGATAATGTAGACGTTCACCAAGTTTCATAAATTCATGAAGGAAGTTCTAAAGAGATGTGAATACAATGAAATTGAGAACGTACGGAGTTACCACACACGTACACGCGCACACACACGTACGTAGGTTCGAAGCCTCGTCACGGCCCTTGTGGATTTGTTCAATGTGTGGGTGCTCTGACGAGGCAGGGTTGGCGGGAGAGTCCTGCGTGATCAGCTGGCCACAGTAAACTTTACACACACACGTAAACTCCCGTCAATAAAGAAAGCCCTCTACACACCAGGTAGATCTCTGGGAAGCAGTAGACCCGTCGGTCAGGTAAACCTTAAACCAACTCAAATGAACCTCTGTTCAACTAAGGTAAATACACCCAATACCCATTTATTTATGCCAATCTTTGTAAACAAATGTAACCCAACCAAACAACTGTAAGTGAACTATGGTAAAAAATAAAGCACCTCTGTAAACCATGTAAACTTAGATGTCCAGCGAGAGACTTGTGACACACACACGGGTTTAACAGTATACATTTCACACAGGTTATTTTTGTGTAAACAATACGAAACAATATGTTTCATCATTTATTGCAAGTGGCGTTGAAGTGGTTTTGAGGGGAGGGTGGGTGGGGGGGGGGGGGGGGGGGGGGGGGGGAAGGAGGGGAGGGGGGGGGCGGGGATGTAGCATATGATTTTGTGGAATGGTGGTGGCGGCCCAGAACCCTGTCCTGTCCGTCCTCAACCCTCCTATCCCTTCAGAGGCTCCTTGGCCTCCTATCCCTTCAGAGCGGGTATATATTCATATGGATTAACGCTTTCTTCTCGGTTACAGCCCCGCTCCTGTGCCAGGTAAGTCCACTACGGGTTCACCATAGCCCGTGCTACTTGTCCCGCTCCTGTGCCAGGTAAGTCCAATACGGGTTCACCATAGCCCGTGCTACTTGGAACTTTTTGTTCTCAATAGCTGAATCTATAACAACAACAACAACAACAGCGCTTTCTTCTCATAATTACCTTAAGTAATCATGATATCATGGTCCGTGTACGTGATAACACGTGGGGCGGTGACGGGGTGGTGAAGTGAAGATGGTCTTAGGGTGGCAATGTATGGTAGTGAGACGGGCTCGTTCCTACCTGGCACAATATCTAGAAGTTATCTTGAGGTTATCTTGAGATGATTTCAGATTGATTGATTGATTTTTAGTGTCCCCGCGGCCCGGTCCTCGACCAGGCCTCCACCCCCTGGAAGCAGCCCGTGACAGCTGACTAACACCCAGGTACCCATTTTACTCCTAGGTAACAGGGCATTGGGTGAAAGAAACTCTGCCCAATGTTTCTCGCCGGCGCCTGGGATCGAACCCAGGACCACAGGATCACAAGTCCAGCGTGCTGTCCGCTCGGCCGACAGGGGTAGAGGTCATGGTCTGGTGAGGCAATCGTCGTGGTCACAATGTTGTCGCTGGATGACGGGGTCATTGTGGTGTAACTAGGTCGTGGTGGGAGGGTCCCTAAGGGTCACTACTCCCCCATCGATCCCAGTAGCCCATGACGGGCGCCATTGATCCCAGGAGTATGGGCTGGCAGCCTTCCTGGGCCGCGCGGTACCCGCTTCCCGCCATTCTCTCTTTCCGTTTGTTTTGGTTCCCTCATTTATCATATGTTTTGTAATAGTTACCATGTGTAGAATTGTTTCGTTTGTATGAGTTTACTGCGTATTATCATCGAGGTCAAGTGAAGGTAGTTTGCTTGGACAGATAATGTAGACGTTCACCAAGTTTCATAAATTCATGAAGGAAGTTCTAAAGAGATGTGAATACAATGAAATTGAGAACGTACGGAGTTACCACACACGTACACGCGCACACACACGTACACGCGCGCACACACGTACGTGTCCCCTGTATGTATATATACAAGTATTGGCGGGAGAGGGAGTCACCATTACCACCCAAGATTGCCACACAAGGGGCTCATCTTCCCTTGCCAAACATGGTCTATTGTACCTGACGTGAGGTCTCGTCCCGACACCAACCCACACGTCTCTAAATACAGCAAGTGACGACTCTTGGGCACCGCTCCTGTGCCAGGTAAGTCCACTACGGGCTCACCATAGCCCGTGCTACTTGGAACTTGTTCAGAGTAGCTGAATCTATAACGACAACGACTCTTGGGTCCGTCCTGGACCATCAAGTCTTGTAAGGCTCGGGCGAGTCAGAGAAGGTCCACGTGAGAGGGAGAGAGGCGAGAAGGTCACACTAGAGGAACACGCTAGAAGTAGCGTGAAGTATGGGGGGAATGGACAGAAGGGAAGGGAAACTGGCAGGAGAAAGCGCCAAGCCATTACGACTATGTAGCCAGGGTAGAAGCTCCAGTTAAATATTTAATTCGGTAATGTTGTATGGTGAAACGTGAATGTCAAATCATTATTCCAGA